CATGATCTTTCAGAAATCATTCTATTATTTAGATTTGCTCCTCAAAAAACATGTATTATTATTATTAAGAATAATAATAATAATATTTAAATTATTATTAATAATAGGTTCCAAAAAAAATAAATAAATAAATAAGCAGCACAACTGTTTCCAACACTGTAATAAATCAGCATATTGTGATTTCTGAAGGATCATGATTTCTGAAGGATCATGTGACACTGAAGACTGGAGTAATGATGCTGAAAATTCAGCTTTGCATCTCAGGAATAAATTATAATTTTAAGTACATTAAAACAGAAAAAACATTATTTTAAATGTGAATAATATTTCACAATATTACAGTTTTTTTCTGTATTTTTGATGAAATAAATGCAGGCTTGATGAGCATAAGAGACTTTCATAAGGCTGCATAATTATCAAAAATGGTAATATAATAAAGTCCTTTCATGTCACAATTCCGCCAGTCTACACTTCACACAATAGGCCTGTAGTTGGCACTTGGGCTTCATTAACTATCATTAACTATGATAGTTTCATGACATAGTAAAGGGTGTATCAATATACATAAATACAAGTGAATTGAACACTGCTTACCATTAATGCGACTTTTGGTGCTGCATGGTTTTGTGCAGTGCTTTGTAATCAGTTAGCATCTATTTTCTCAGCGATGCAATTTGATTTATAAAATGAGACAAACCGCAGATCCAGATTGCTCCACAAATGTAGGTTCATCTGTCCATGTAATTTTCAACCAGAACGGAAAATTATTGCTCCACACTTCACATTGTTCAATGAAATTTGAACATGTTGTGCCAGATCATGATTGGTTGGTGTATTATACATGACAAACAGGCATTGATGATTTATGTAATATTCTAAAATATATAATATATGGATTTTTCATTAAATCGACACATTAGCTTTGATTATTGATGAAAAAAACGTTTCGACCCATAGGCACTCACTGAAAGAACCAAATATGGCTCGAGAGCCTAAATTTGTGGAATATCAGTCAGTCAAGCAAAACACATTCAACCCATAGCAACGCTTTATGGCAACACCTCAGACTGACAGATATGTAAAAATAAACAGGAATTTTCCAACTTTTGAGCGATTCGTTACTGTTTTGTACACATTGTCAATTTAATTCTAATTCAAATGCATTTTTTTATTAATTTTGAAAAAGGGCAGGGGCTCGAGCAATCAAAGCCCCCATACTATATATATGTGTGTGTGTGTGTGTGTGTGAAGGTATTGTTATTGTTTTTATTTAGCAATTAGTTTTACAAAAATATTTAAAATATAAAAAATTAGTTTTTGTAAAAATATTTTAAAATGACTTTTAATGAATTTATTTATTTATGTTTTATTTTTATTTATTTTTATACATTATTTTAAAATCTTGAAGAAAGTAAGATTATAGACAGCTTAATTCAGGTGAATTCATTTCAGGCCTATCAGACCGTATAGGACACACTTGCGCTAACAAAAATTATTATTGATAAAACAACAATAAAAAACAATCAAGATAAACTAACTAGTAAACCTCAGAAAATGACTAGTCCGCTGTTGCAATTACCATCCTGACCAACTTAACACATTTCTAAATACTTTACAGCAATTACTTAAAAAAAAAAAATATTTTGTTCTGATGATGTCCAAAAATACTGCCCATCAATTAATACACTACAAACTTATCCATAAGGCTTATGCTACTCCTTATGTGTTACATAAAATGAAATGCCTGCCTACCCCTTTTTGTACACTCTGTAATTCTAATATGTGGGGACCTGTATGCACATTAGGGATATGCCGGTATCAAATTTTCATGTTGCGATTAATTGCTAATGCACTGTAAAAAATGATATGATGAAAAAGCCATGACAACTTATGTTTTTAAGTTACTTTAACTCATCAAAATAATTTAAGCAATTTCAACTTTTTTTTTATAAGTTATACTAGATTCAACTTGATTTTTTAAGTCAGTTTAATGTTACTGAAATTCAAAGAGCCCAATTTAGTTCGGTGAACTTAACATTTTAAGTTGTAGCTTTTTGGCACTAACCGGCCAAATCTCTGAACATGGATTCATGCGCAGGAGTCAAATTTGTTCATGAATTTAATATCAGAGTCCTTTCCAAGAAAAAAAAAATTTCAACAAATCTAGACATTAGACTCATGTTTGAAACATGAGACATCGCAGTGCAACATCAAACAAGGAGACACGGGCAGACTATACAGCGAACTAAATAAACCGCAGAGGAATTTCAGACGAACAACTCATGAACTTGAGGAAGCTGTCCGTTGGGCTGCGCGCGAAGAAGCATATTCAGCGTGGATGAGGTGAGTGAATGCTTGTGTAACATCATTTTTGGGAGATTATTGTTCATTTTAGCAGAATAAGTTATGTTCTGTCATTGTTTTCCGAACTGTGTTTACCTTTCAAGTTTTGCATTTCTGATACGGTGGCCGCTGTGCTGTGCTGCATTAGCACGGCAGATTGTAATGTAACGTTTGAGATTTGACACATATTTGTTTCTCCACCTGTTAAACATCGTTAAGATGGGCAATTTGAGCGATTATAGGTGTATTTTACCGTTAAAGTGGGTACCAGTTGGCTTTGCTGAGCAGGCTCGGCATTTTCGCGCCCACTGGAAGTTTATCCCAGTCAGGCTTCGTGCGTGTGAGTTGGTATTCGTTACTGAGTAAAGTTAAGCGTTTTT